ATCTCTACTAAAAATACAAAAATCAGCTGGGTGTGGTAGAGGGCGCCTGTAATCCCAACTACTGGGGAGGCTAACGCAGGAGAATCGCTTGAACCCGGGGAACGGAGGTTGCAGTGAGCTCAGATCGTGCCATTACACTCTAGCCTGGGCAACAGAGCAAGACTCTGTCTAAAAAAAAAAAAAAAAATAGCCTGGTCCCAAGATAGAAAGAGCCACACAGACGCGCATGCGCGCGCGCCTCACAACCCTCAGCCACCAAAGACCTACGCTGATTGGGACATTAACATTAGATACCCAGCAGCACAGACCAGAGAGAAGCACACACTCAGCGAAACCATAATGCACGAACACACTCCTGTTTTGGTTTGACAATAGCCATGCAGGCTCTGACTGCTGTATTAAAGGACACGGCAAAAGGACAGTATTCTCCATCCCAATCACTACCCACACAGACTGGTGTGGGCCCCTCCATGAAACACATACCTGACCTCTTCACATCCCAGGGCCAGCACCCTCCCTGCATAGTCTCCATGCACGAGGCACCCAGCTTTTGTCATTCCAGGGACTCCATGGTTCCCCACATCCTGAATGTGACCCCATCACAGAACTGGTGGCAGCAGGAGCTGAGTGTGAAGCATCTTAAGCCGGAATCCTGAATGCTGCTTCTTGTACAGATGCTGCTCCCCCAGTGAGAATGTCTCCACCTGGGACCGTGGAACTCCAGATACATTAAGGAGTTAAGGGTTTTCTGTTGATAAACTTGGAGCCTTATCAATAGGCACTACCGATTCTAGGGAAAAGAAGTAGACTGCATACATATGCTTGTTAACTGGATTTCAAATACCTTGAATTTCAGGCCCTGTCACCCAATCACATGTGTTTGCTAGTGAGTCCCTTCCATGTTCATAAATGCCTCCTTTCATCTGTCCTGGGCTTTTGTCCCTTGAGCATCATGGAATCATGGAGGGTCCCTTCACTGTGGCTGGAGCCCTGGACCTGATCACTAAGTCCACGCTCCCCTATCACCCGATCATCAAGTCCATGCTCCCCTATCGACAATCCTGGGTGACTCTATAGCCTGTGCCATTACAAAGCACCCTCAGGCCCTAAGGTCTGTCCGCTGTGGCTCTCAGGTTCTTCTCTGCACTTCACCCCAGAACTACTAAGATGAACCCACAGGCAGGGAGGGGCCTGGGGTGCTGAGCTATGTCCAGAGACAGCACGCAGGAGCAAGAGTTTCTGGGAATCTTTTTCAGTTGTTTTAACATCTGGAATTAAGGAAGTATCATTATTCCTTTATTTTTTGGAATGGTAAACAGAGTATTTAAGATAATATATCAAGACCCAATTAATCTCCCTAAAATAATTTCTAAAAGGCATTATATCAGAAAGGTTTTAATAGGAAATTCTCTGCTTCATCAGCTCACTGGAATTCCTGTCCCAGGAGCGTTACTGAAAGCTTTCCAAACAGTGTTCCCAGCTCCAGGGGACGCTGTCACAGCCACAAGATCCTTCAGCATACCTTTTTGACTTTTATTTTTTCTTTCTTTTTTAAATTTCTTGTAGAAACCAGGTCTCGCTATGTTGCCCAGGCTGGTCTCGAACTCCTGAGCTCCAATGATCTTCCCGCCTTGGTCTCCCAGAGTGTGAGGATTACAGGAGTGAGCCACACGCCCAGGTGCTTTTTGACTTTTGAAGAGAAAACTATTACATTGAAGAAAAAAACCAGAAAGGAACTGGCGCTCACACTGTAGTGTATTTCCTATAGTCCTTGTTTATCTTGCTATCACTTATCTAACGTCTCTGCCCTCCACTGTTCTCACAGCATCTAAAGAATTTGGCATCCGACTTTTTCAACTAAAAGTCACACGTGACTAAGTCTTTGCAGGTTCCTATGGGAGCTCCACAGGTGTCACTGTTAGTGGCTGCACTGTGTCTCCGGGAGCCGAATGAGGCCCTTGGGGTGGTCCGAGAAACACGCCAGCCACTCACCCGCAGACCTGGCTACCACGGTTTATAGCGTTTCCTGGGGGAAGTCTGAGAGAAGATGAAAAACTACTAGCTCCTTTAAGGCTCTTGATACATTTTATGAAATTGCTTTTCAAAATGGTCACACAATTTGCTGTGCCAGCATTTTAAAAAATATTATATATTTATTATAGTAACAGTTTTTAATAAAGCTTATTCGCTTTAATGTGAGTTTTCAAAATTCCCAGTTAAATGACAATGTCTCCTGGATCCTGATTGACCCCATGTATGGAACTGGGACCCACAGCATGAGCAGCTCCTGGGAGCTGCTCAGAAATGTAGAATCTCAGGCCCCTCTTGGGAGCTGCTGAGCCACCACAAGATCCTGGGTGATTCATCTGCATGCCAAAGTTTAAGAAGCACTTCAGGAGGGTACCTCTCCAGGATCCTCATCGGAGTCTAAGGAGCAGCCCAGATCCACCGCAGTGGGCCCTGAAGATGCCCTTGTACATCAGCCACGGGAAAACAGGCCTGAGATTCCTCAGTGCAAATTCAAGAAACAAAAACCTAAGTCCAAGAAAGAACCTTCCCCATGTCTTCCAGACTCCCAACACTGAAGAAGAAAGAAACCGCCTTGCGGACAGCGTGTTGGTGGCACGTGTGGGCCTGCCTCTGCCTCCTCCTTGTGGTCAGGCAGCCCTGCGTGGCTGTCTGCCAAGCTCCCCAAAGTCAGCCTTGCTGGTGTCTTCTCATGACAATGTCAGGGTGGCCATCTTCCACCATCCGGGCTAACCCATATTCATTTCTTTCCAAATTAAATCTATTTCATTCAAACCTTACATTTTTATAGAGGCAAGTGCCTGGCAGGTCTAAGGAGACTTTTCCAAATTATGAATAATATAAACACGCTGCCCTAGATTATTTGCTGAACGTTTCCTTTCCCTGCTGCAATATGACACTTATCTCATTCAAGTTCTCAGGGCCTTCTATTCCCCTACTTGTAATTACAACAGTTGAGAGATGTTCCCACATCAGACAGGACTGGCCTTCTAAAAGCCATTTAAAAAAAATCTGTTCAATTAGTCTTACCTATTTTTCCCTCAGATGGGACTTTTGGAATCATCTGTCAAGTTACAGGGAAAATCTTGCCAAGAAAGTTTAGCTAGAATAATCGTAGGCCACTAAATTAACGTGAAAATTGTCCTCCTTCCGTCGATAATATTTAATCTTCTCCTAGAATACGGGGTTTCCTTTCTTGGTTCCAACTGTATCACCTCACTCAAGCTGCTGTGTCCGGTTTACAGATGTCATGCATAGGTCTCATCCCTAACAAGGTTCTTTATTACCTGCAAATTTGAACAATTTTGTCTTCCTGTCCAATATCATCATCACACTTCTGTTTCGTACCTTGTTTCAAATGTCTAAACCCACACAAGGTAACAATGACCACGGGATGTGGGACGCTCTGGACATGCCTGATGTGGAAGAACCTAGGAGCAGCCAGTTCTCAGCTCCATCCCCAGCTTTGGGTCAAGTGGAAGGTTACGTTAAAGAAAGGGCAGCATGTTGCCAATCGGCCTCTGCAAGTGGGGCTGAGGCTGGGCGTCTGGGTTTTCAAAGGGGTTGCAAGGCCACCTGACCTGGTGGGGTCGGGCAGCTGATCCCTGGCTTCCCACAGGAGCCAACAGCCACTCACAGGGGACAGCGCCTCTCACGTGGAGCAGGGGGCCGCTGTCCTAGCAAATGGCCCATCACAAACAGTCGGAGGAGGAGAAAACCCGACTAAGGTAATAGCCTAACAGATGCAAGACAGGGAAGCCCAGCTACAGACACAGAGCCTGTGCAACCCAACACTGCTCCAAATATTTCACATCTCTAAGATACCATTTATCAACACAAATGCAATTATTTTTCCAAATCAGCTAATGGCTGTTCAAAAACTTTAAAAGAAAAAAAGAAAGAAAGATAAGTGAAACTGAATGAATGATAAACATGAAACAGGAACTCCTTGGCCCAATTTCTACAGTAATATACACTAAAAAAATAAAGGTAAACCAGTGCGCTATATGATCACGTATCTATGTAATCCAGTATCTATATATAACGCTTTACTACATGACCAGGCTGGGGCAGGGGAAGGCAGAGGGGGAAAGAACAAAACTGCTCCTTAAAAACACCTTCTGGCTGGGCATGGTGGCTCATGCCCGTAATCCCGGCACTTTGGGAGGCCAAGGTGGGTGGAGCACAAGGTCAGGAGTTTGAGACCAGCCTCCTGACCTACCTGGTGAAACCCCATCTCTAAAAAAGAAAAACAAAAACATCTTCTTAACATACTCCATTCAACAAGCACAGATACACGACTCAGGCTACACAAAAGCATCAGGAGAGGCAAGAACACCAAACAGGCTGACGGAACACAGCCGGATATGTAAGAAAGACCTGCCAACAAGCAGAACTCTTCCAGACTGTGGTGGACAGAATGACTGCTCCTAATTCCTCACCTCTCCTTGTGCTCCTGTATGTTTAAGACATGCCAAGACATGGACCTATTGTTCACTCCTCACCTCTCCTTTCTCACACCACCCTGTAGTCCCTTCTCCCTGGAGACACAGTAGACTCCCTGCCCCTTGACTCAGGCTCAGACACATCACTTGTTCTGGCCAATGAAATGCTGGCTTGAAATGCCTTTTGTGCCTCTACTGTAACCATGAAGGGCCTCTGCCCTGGAGGGCCCCAGAAGGACCACACGTGGAATTGACCTAGCTCAACCTGCAGCAAGGAGTTGCCAACCCAGTTAAAACCAGATTGAGGCAGAGCCACCATTCGAGAAAACTCACATCAGCCAACCTCCAGCAGCGTGAGCAACAATAAAAGACCGCTGCTAAAAGCCACTGAATTTTTGGAATATTTGTTACACAGTCTTATTATGGCAATATCTGACTAATACAAATTCCCCAGAGGGAATCCACAAGTCATTAAAGACAGCCTTTCCTTCTAAGTTCAGAAAGAAATCAGTTACTTGCCAGGCTCACCTTTTTTCTTCGAACCAGACTTCTTCTTGGCAGGAGCCTCTTGCTTTGGTGCCTCTGGACTCTGAGCCACATCTGCATTTCTGCCCTGGACAGGAGCTGCCTCTGTCGTTTTACCCTGACTGGCAGCTGCATCTGCCTTTTTGCCCTGATTGGGGGACCCTTCTGCCTTTTTGCCTTGACTAGGGGACCCTTCTGCTTTTTTTCCCTCTGCCTTTTTGCCCTGATTAGCAACCGAATCTGCCTTTTTGCCCTGGTTGGGACTCCCCTCTGCCTTTTTGCCCTGAGCCCCTTCTGTCTTTTTACCCTGATTCTGGCCTCCCTCTCCTTTTTGGCCCTGGTTCTGGGCCCCCTCTGCCTTCTTACCCTGGTTCTGGGTGCCCTCTGCCTTCTTACCCTGGTTCTGGGCCCCCTCAACCTTCTTGCCCTGGTTCTGACCCCCCTCGGCCTTCTTGCCCTGGTTCTGGCCCCCCTCGGCCTTCTTGCCCTGGTTCTGGCCCCCCTCGGCCTTCTTGCCCTGGTTCTGGCCCCCCTCGGCCTTCTTGCCCTGGTTCTGGCCCCCGTCGGCCTTCTTGCCCTGGTTCTGGCCCCCCTCGGCCTTCTTGCCCTGGTTCTGGGCCCCCTCGGCCTTCTTGCCCTGGTTCTGGGCCCCTTCTACTTTTTTGCCCTGGTTCTGAGCCCCCTCTGCTTTTTTGCCCTGGTTCTGGGCCCCCTCAGCCTTTTTGCCCTGATTCTGGGCCCCTTCTGCTTTCTTGCCCTGGTTCTGGGCCCCCTCAGTCTTTTTGCCCTGGTTCTGGGCCCCCTCTGCTTTCTTGCCCTGGTTCTGGGCCCCCTCGTTCTTCTTGCCCTGGTTCTGAGCCCCCTCTGCTTTCTTGCCCTGGTTCTGGGCCCCCTCGTTCTTCTTGCCCTGGTTCTGGGCCCCCTCATTCTTCTTGCCCTGGTTCTGGGCCCCCTCGTTCTTCTTGCCCTGGTTCTGGGCCCCCTCTGCTTTCTTGCCCTGGTTCTGGGCCTCCTCAGTCTTTTTGCCCTGGTTCTGGCTCCCCTCAGCCTTCTTGCCCTGATTCTGGGCACCCTCAGCCTTCTTGCCCTGATTCTGGGCCCCCTCTGCTTTTTTGCCCTGGTTCTGGGCTCCCTCTGCCTTTTTGCTCTGATTCTGGGCCCCCTCTGCTTTTTTGCCCTGGTTCTGGGCCCCCTCTGCCTTCTTGCCCTGGTTCTGGGCCCCTTCTGCTTTCTTGCCCTGGTTCTGGGCCCCCTCAGCCTTTTTGCCCTGGTTCTGGGCTCCCTCTGCCTTTTTGCCCTGATTCTGGGCACTCTCGGCCTTCTTACCCTGGTTCTGGGCCCCCTCAGCCTTTCTGCCCTGATTCTGGGCCCCCTCTGCCCTTTTGCCCTGGTTCTGAGCCCCCTCTGCCTTCTTGCCCTGGGTTGGGGACCCCTCCGCCTTTTTCCCCTGGTTTGGGGTCATATCTACCTTTTTACCCTGATTCTGGGCCCCCTCTGCCTTTTTGCCTTGGTTTGGGGTTCCTTCTGCCTTCTTGCCCTGGTTTGGGGTTCCCTCTGCCTTTTTCCCTTGGTTTGGGGTTCCTTCTGCCTTTCTGCCCTGGTTTGGGGCTCCTTCCGCCTTTTTGCTTTGGTTCTGAGCCCCTTCCCCCTTTTTGCCCTGAGCAGTGCCAGTGGCTGGTGTGTTGCCCCTGGCGCCCACTGGGGGCACCACCACCATCGGCACCTCCTTGGGTGCAGTTTCCAAGATGGCAGTCTTTGAAGCAAGAACCTGGATGGAATTCACTACAGAACTGACAGCTGGTTCTACTTTTGCCACTTTTTTCTCCTTCTTCTTTTTGTCCTTGGGGGAGGAGGCCAGCTTCTCCTGGGGCATGGCTGGAACCGTGGCGACAGGAGCAACAGTAATGGGGGGCTGGACTGGGGTTGGAGCCACAGCCACAGCAGGAGCCCGCACTGGTTCTCGGAGGAGGACAGTCACGTTGGGGGCCAGATCGTGATCAGGTATCTTCCCATTAGGTTTCTCTTCCTTTTTCTTGGTCTTTCCTTTCTTCTCCACTGTTTTCTCCTTCTTTTTCTTCTCTACTTTCTGGTGGTTAGTTTTTGCCATCTCCTTGCGCTGGTTGGCTAGGGCTTCTTCATATGACGTTTCCTTCATGGAGAAGGTCGACACCAGGAAGATGCCAATGGCAGAAACAACCATGAATCCGCCAAAGACCACAACCCCCAAGGTTTGAGTGTCATAAATATCCATCTTGGCTTGCTTTCCTTTCACCTGCCAAACACATACACAGAGGTTACTATTTGTAGAAATTGAGGCAGTCAACAGTTTCCATCCCTACCTGACCACCAAACTTCAGGTTTCACTAATTCTTTCTTCAGACTAATAAATTCTGAGAAGCAAACCCAGGCACTCTCTGATCTCATATATTCTCCTCTTTAGAAGTGAGCGATTTGTACCCAAGGCATGAGCAGTCCCCATCAATGCTGGGAGGTACAAAGCAACAGTACAGTCAGAGCAGAGTGCAGGTCTGTCTCTGGAGCACACACGCCCAGGAGCCTTGGCAGCCATGACCCTGATTCACGATGCTCCCCATCACAAGGTCTAAGGCACACAGGAGCACAAACGCAGGCCAGGTATGAGACCATGGGGAGCGGTGGAGACTGCAGCAAAAACACCCGCCCCTAAAACTAGGCAGTGACACTCTGTCAGGGCTCACTGCCCTAGAAATGTGATTGCTGAGTTGAGAGATCTTTTGATTTTTCATGTTGGGCCAGACATCTTTTAAAAAATTTTTCTCACAACGTTAAGTTGACTGATTTAAAAAATACGGGAACCGAATGAACACATCTTCAGGCTTTCAGCCACATGCATTTTAGCCAGCAGGCCCACAGTGTGCCATCTCCACTCTGTTGCTTGCCTTTTCCCCAGTGCCAATAAATGCCGCTACCCAGGGTCAGAGATAAAAACTTTTGCGTTACAATCCTAAAACATGATCAAGAAATCAGTGAGGGAAAACAGCCTGTTGTTATGGAACCTGCAATATGCATGTTGGGAAACAGGAAGAATGAGTCTTGGGAGGCCCAGAAGATGCCAGGTTTGGAATTTCACATCCAGAGGCTGCACGGAGGATGAGGAGACAGTGTCACCAGGCTCTTTCAGACAACACACCCCAAACCATGAGGATGAGTAACACCATTCTCACCACCGATAGACAAAAGTCCAATGGTCAGAGGCAACCAGGTTCATATACCTTCCTGCCACAGCCCAGGCTAAGTTCAACTTCACTGAGGAACTGTAAGAGATTCATTTATTGGGATGCATTCAACCCATCCCAAGTCCCCCTAAAGAAGATCAATGGAATGAGCAAAGAGAACACAATGGTAAGAAGGGATGGGTAAGGGGAGGTAGAAAGAGGTGGGCGAGGACGGAAAGTGGACAGGCCTACCCCAACACTGCCCTGCAAAACCTCCAGATGATGTGGGAGGCTGGGTCCAGGCTGGTTAGTGGCTTAGACATTGAGATTCTTCTAAGAAATTGAGATTCGCACTCCTCTTGAGTGAATATAAGGGGAGGGAAATAGAGTAGGAATGTCTAATCAACAATCATGAAATCCAAATTTTGAGATTAGGGCATTTTAAGGAAGGGGCTGAGAAGGGAGACTGTTTTCAATGTCTTGGCATTGTGTTCTAAGAAAAATCACTCTCATCACAGAATGAACACGTGACTTCGGCCTTTCTAAGACCGTTGCAGGAAGCGGGTTTAAAACACCTATGACAAAAACTTTCCAGCATGTGCTCTCCCTGGGGACAACTCTATCAGCTGCTGTGGCAACACTCACTTCTCCCACACTGTCACTCTGCATTGTGGGGGGACCAAGTCAGAACTGTTCATTCCAGACTAAACCTCTGCAAACAAAGCGGAGCTCGTGGAGGCCTCTGAATCCTGGGTAAGGGAGCATTTATGTTTCCAAGTGGATTCTGACCTCTGGCCATGGGCAGTGACAGTGTGACCCACAGCCAACACACTCTCACGTTCGATCACTGAGGGAGGGTGCCAGGAATTGGCCTTCCAAGAACACACTCATAAGCTGGGTATGAAAAAGGAAATCACACCCTGGTCAGCCGTGGATGAATTCAGTGGGTAGGAAGATGGGGACAAGAAGATTTGGAACACGGTACAGTCAACCCTCACCTTCTTACCCAAAACTCCTCTGGGTACTTCCAAGAGTTTCTCAGAACTCTGCCAAAATGGACACGTTCAGGCACACTATAATCACTACATTCAAAAATCCTAAGTCTAGGCATGGTGGCACGAGCCTGTGATCTTTGCACTTTGGGAGGCTGAGGCAGGAGGATCACTTGAGTTCAAGATCAACCTGAGCAACATAGTGAGACCTCATCTCTATTTAAAAAAAAAAAAAATAGATGGTCTCTAGAGAGACCAACATCAGGGGCCTGGGTCACCCTGGCCGAGGCTCTGTATAAGCCCCGAATGGTTTCCCAACAACCATGTGCTCGAGGGGTAGGCTCCACGGAGCCGTGGTTGGCACTGGCTGCAGACCGTCACACAGTGAACGGCCATACACAAAGCGAGGCCTGTTCACAGCTGAGGACTGTGGGGCTCTGTGCAGCCTTGTGGTTTCCAACTTCTAAACTCCGGCAGAAAAGCTAAGGCTGGAAAGTGAGCTTTTAATCTTACTCAACATAGGCAAACACAGAATACAAAAATATATTCTCTGTTGGGATCCAGAATCGAGAAAAGCAAACTTGGGAGAATATTTTTCCTTTGCAACGCACACAAATGTATGTTTTATAGCAGCACAAATGTGTCTTCCCAACTTCTGCAGAAAAAGAAATTACATCCCCACCAGTAATTCCCAAGTTAGAATTTTTTAAAAGAAATCTTTCACAAGAAAATGAAAAGCCCTAGTCTAAAGCAGTAATACACTGAAACATTTAAGGCTAAGGCAATACCACCACAGACAGCAAAGAAATCGAAATGAAAAACAACCTTTCTGCTGCTTTGCCGAGTCAGCTTCAGTGGGGCATAAACATCACGCTGGGAGATCCTTGAGTCACAGAAATGAGGAAGCCAGGGATGCCTCTCCAATTTGGTTATCAAGATCAGCATTCCAGGAGCTTCACTCCTGAAATCTGCATTGTGGTAAGAGGCCCCCAGCAGGCACCTTCTCTAGTGCTTTCTCCGCTGCACCAAAGAGTCAGGGCAGATGTGTGCCCACCCACACCTTGCAGGGTCTGACCGCGGGAAATCTATATTCTGTTGATTCCAGAAACTTCTGTCAAATAAGTACTTTTACTTATTTGGCAGTGGTCCCCCTTATCCTCTGGGAATATGTCCCAACACCCCCAGTGGGTCTGACATTGCCGTAATACTGAACCCTATATGCACTGGTTTTTTTTTTTTCCTATACCTACATATCTATGATAACATTTAATTTGGAAATCAGGCACAATATGAGAGTAACAACATAAAAAAATAGAACAATTATGACCATATGCTAACATCGCCACTCTTGCACTTTGGGGCCAAGATTAAGTAAAATAAGAGTGACTCAAACACATGCACTGTGATACCAGACAGTGCATCTGAAAGCAGAGAGGGCCACCACGTGATGCACAGGCAGGTAACAGAGACGGCGTGAATCCACCACACACAGATGGTTCACATCCCAGGTGAGGCGCTACTCAAAATGGCATGCAACTTAAAACCCAGGAAGAGTTTCTTTCTGAAATTTTCCATTTAATATTTTCAGACCACAGCTCTCTGCTGGTAACTGAAACCACAGAGAGTGAAACCATAGATAAGGGGGGACTACAATATTATTAACATACTCAGACTGTAAGACAAGGAGACAAAGGCCCCCACGGGGAAGGATGTAGGAGGCTGCCCGGAGCCTCAACAGACTGAACTCACTGGCCCACCTCTAAGGTCTCAAGAGAATGGCTCTTCTGTTTTTAAGATCCAGGGAACAAAAGTAAAAGGAAGCCCCAAACTCTTTAGATGCGGAAGGTATCTGCTAACTCACACGGCCCACCTAGGCCAGGCTGGGTCCAATTTGGCAGCGGGGATTTCGGTAGGTTTTGTGAAAGGACCCTCAACAAATCCCGGAGATCTGTCTCAGCACTAAGCAGCAGCTCCACGGGGCACCCTGTGTCAATGCTCGCAGAAGCTGTGGGGTAGGGGTGGTCAAAGAAAAGCCCCATATCCATTTCCTGGGCATAAAGTGACCTGCTAGGAAGGTACGGAACTACTACAGAATGACAGTCAATCAGAGACTCAAGCATACATGGCTACATCTGAATCAACAGCTCCTCATTTTTAAAAATATTATGAAACAACTCATACAAAAGACTAAGAAGAAAAATATGAACATCCATTAGCCTGCTACCCAGGTTTACCAAACCCTAACATTCTGTCATATGCACCTCGGATATTTATATATACATATATGTGCATGTGTATACACGTGTGTGTGAACACACATGTATGTATATATATATGTCATCTCCTTCCCAGAGGGGACAACACCCTGAATGCGTCACTTACCACTTCCACATGCTTATGCTTCTATTACATGTATCTCTAAAATGCTGGTGATTGCTGTGTAAATGATACTGTTCTGGGTGCTATTTGGCAACGTTTTTTGACTAAACTCTGTGAAATTTATTCATATAGATACAAACAGCTTTGGTTTATTCTTTTCGTTTTTTTGAGACAAAGTCTCTCTGTCACCAAGGCTGGAGTGCAGTGGCACAATCTTGGCTCACTGCAACTTCTGCCTCCCAGGTTCAAGTCCTTCTTGTGCCTCAGCCTCCTGAGTAGCTGGGATTCCAGGCGTGCGCCACCACACCCAGCTAATTTTTGTAGTTTTTAGTAGAGACAGGGTTTCGCCATGTTAGCCAGGATGGGGTTTATTTGACTACATTACATAGCTGAACCACAAATTATTATACACATGCCTATGCTTTCAGGTTTTAAAAATTTATGCTATCACACAAAACTGTACTGTGACATGTCTACCACAGAGCAGAAAATCTCCTTTATACCCCTGATGCCAGCTACCCAGGGTCCCTTCCTGAAGGCAACTGTTGCGACAGAAGTCATTTTACTGTAGAAGTTATTTTCTTCGAAAAACTTTGGCAATGCATTTCAAAGTCAGGTGTTCAATAACCGGGAATTTACTTTGGCATGTGGCAGGAAACAGTGATAAAACTTTCCCCATCAGTTTAATTACCCAGCACCATTTCCTG